CCGGGTCTCCACTTCTCCAGAGTAAACAGCCCCAGCTCCCTCAGCCTCTCCTCACAGGACTTTCCCTTCAGTCCCTTCCCCAGCCTCGTTGCTCTCCTCTGGACCCGCTCCAGCCCCTCAAGGTCTTTCTTGCAGTGAGGGGCCCAGCCCTGCACACAGTCATAGAAGGAGATAAGATCAATCACGATCTTCCTTTCCTAAACCCACGTTGGCTGGGCCTGATCCCCTTGTCTTCTACATGCCGCTTGATGACACTCAGGATGATTCGCTCCATAACCTTGCCAGGCACTGAGGTCAGGCTGACAGGCCTAGAGTTCCCTGGATCCTTCTTCTGGCCTTTCCTATGGATGGGCCTCACATTGGCCAACCTCCAGTCATCTGGAACCTTCCCAGTTAGCCAGGATTGGTGATAAATGATAGAGAGCAGCTTAGCCAGTTCTTCTGCCAGCTCCCTCAGCACGCTAGGATGAATACCATCCGGACCCATGGACTTGTTGGGATCTAAGCGGCACAGCAGGTCACTAACTACTTCCTACTGGATTACAGGAGGGTTATTCTGCTTCCCATCCTAGACAGGAATGAGGAGCAGAATACCCCTCAGGAGCCCAGTTGCCCTGAGGACAGCCAGTCTTTTTGTTAAAGACTGAGGCAAAGAAGATGTTAAGTACCTCAACCTTTTGCTTGTCATTCGTTTTTATGTTCCCCCCTCATCCAACAAGGAATGGAGATTTTCCCTGACCCTCCTTTTGTTATTAATGTATCTACAAAAGCTTTTTTTATTGTCCTTAACAGAGATGGTCAGATTAAGTTCTAACTGAGCTTTTGCATCTCTAATTCTCTTTCTACATGACCTTACAATATCCTTAAACGCTTCCTGATTCATCTGCCAACTTTTTCCAAAGTTGATACACTTTTCGTTTTTCTGAGTTCTTGCAAAAGCACCCTGCTCAACCAGACTGGTCTTCTTCCTCCCCCGCTCATTTTTCGGCACACAGGGACAGCCTGCTCCTGCGTCTTCATAATTTCATTCTTAAAGTAAGTCCAGCCTTCCCAGGCCCCTTCATTTTTTAGGGCTCTTTCCCAAGGGACTCTCTGATCCAGTGTCCTGAATAGCCCAAAGTCAGGCCTCCGGAAGTCCAAGGTAGAGGTTTTGCTGATGACCCTCCTAACTTCACCACGTATTGAAAATTCTATCATACCATGGTCACTGTGCCCAGGACAACCTCCAACCATCCCATCTTCCACCAGCCCTTCCCAGTTCGTAAACAGTAGGTGTAGCAGGGCACTAGTCCTGGTAGGCTCACTGACCAGCTGCAACAGGAAGTTGTCATCCAGACACATTCCAGAAACCTTCTGTTCTGCCCTCCTTCTGCTGTGTTGTACTTCCAGCAGACATCTGGTAAGTTGATGTCCCCCACGAGAACAAGGGCTAGTGAACGCAAGACATCTCTAAGTTGTTGAAAGAGTATCTCATCAGTGTCTTTATCCTGGTTGGGTGATCTGTAGCAGACTCCCAGTAGTTTATCAGCCTCATTGGTGTTCCCCTTTATCCTTACCCATAAACATTCCACCTTGGTGCATCTCCTGCTCTCTGCTTAGTTCCTCAGAAGCAGCACGGAGTGAGATTTCAGAGAAAAGGTGGAGGAAGAGAACAGGCCTCAAGAGCCGTGCCGTATCTCCCCGGGACTGTGGGCAAAGCCTGAGACAGAACACTTTTCCTGCACCTCCAGTTTGGCTAAACTCACTCGTAACCCATGTCTCTTACCTTAATACTACAGGAACTTATCAGAATAGACGAGGGCAAAGAATTCCATTCTTAAGAAACAAATCCAGACAACTGTGTACAAGGCAATTAGTTTGTTCACACATAAACGCCTCTGAAGTTACAGAATTAGGGCAGGTTTTGCTGATTTAGGGCATAGTCCTCAAAAGTACTCCTTACCTAGTGCAACAAATAAAACATTAATGGTAATGACAAACTGTAGTTTCACAGGCAAACTTTATTTTGACTATAAAGTGTGTAAAACTCTTATAAAGGAAAAAAACACACAACACCTGATGACAGACTGAAAATATTATTTTCCATATGTAATGCATAAACATAATGAATCAAAAGAAGCAAAAAACCCCCAATATTTAAATACAAATGTGAAGTGTTTTAAAAACATAGTCTGAAAAATGCATAAAATTCCAAAAATGGAAATAAATTCATGTAGGAGAGAAAACATTCATATGTAAAAACCAAATAAGAATTATTACAATCAAACAAATTCAACACCAAGGGTCAATTCAATGCAGAATCTATGTAAGTGGATAGCTTAAGATTGTGACAGATTTTTGGCCTTCAAGCTGACTTGTGCATTTAAGTTAAAATGCAGAATGGAAGAATAAATCCTCAAGCCCATTATAAGTCACTATGGGACACGCTGGTTATTCTAAGCATTTAGTAATTCCAAATCTTGTGCAAGAGTGGAAAAAATTATCAGAAGAATAGCAGGATTTATACCAAAAACTACCAGGAATCTAATTTTAGTAACAGCATGTTCAAGTAAATAAAGATTTGGAAAATAAAGCCAGGATTATGAATTAAAAGGATGCAGAAAAAAAAAAAAAGTGCTAGTTTAAATAAATACATTCAGGTGGCATGAAGCAAAGAGGTTGTGAGGTTTCACAAGCCACTGCGTGCTGCTCTTTCTAACCAGATGCTTCTGGAATCTCGGTGAGGACCCGAGTAAATCTTGATCTCACCTCCTTCTGGTTCAGCATCATAAAATGCTACAAGATTTTTTTTTTTTTGATCAAAAGATGAGTGAAAAATCACTTTTACCCATCTGTGTCTCTGTCACCACTCCTAATTCTACACTGTGATAAATCACTTACTTAAGCCTAGGCAGGAATCAAGAGAAAAACGTTTAACAATTGT